CCCGCACCCCGAGGCCTCTCCAGATAGGCCGGGCGCCGTAACTGTGTCTCGCATCGTGGCTAGTATGGAGGTAATTTTCCCTCAGCCTGACTCTTGACTAGGGTATCGCTTCGTCGCGTTCATGGCCAGTAAGAAATATATAGATCCAACGCCTACCCTAGTTCCTTACCAAACTGAGGCTTTGCGTTGTGCTCGGCACTATGTGTTTCTGGTTTTTGGGTGACGATGATCCACGCCGCTTCGGCGCTTCGGCTACTTCAACTTGCACTTCAACGTACTGCGTTCAAACGCGGCCGTTTGTGGTGCTCCATCGCGCGCTCGTTCTTCCGCGGCCATGCAGGGCCTGCTGGCGGGCGCGACGCCCGCGGGCGGCGCGCCTCCGGGTGGCCAGGCGGGCTCGCCTCGGCCGACGGGAGGGGGTGGGGTTCGGGTGACACCTGCGACTAAGCGCCTGCGGTCAGGGGTTATGAAAATTCGTGAAGCAACTGTGGATCAAGCGACAGCAGCGTTTTTAACGGAATGTTTAGCAGCCCAGGGCGGTTCAAATGTGATTGAGACGACCCTCAGGCCGGAGGCTCTGCGGGATGCGTTGGGGCATGCACGTGCGGAGAGTTCTTACTGCCCATCATCGTGATGTTGCGATGGTAATAATTAGTTAGTAGACTCCCTACTCAAGTAGGCGGACTAATCTGGGATCGGGGCTCTCTGTCCTCAATCGCTGGAGTTGAGTGAGTAGGAAAGAAAAGGGGCAACGTCATGGAAATCCAGATATGTATCCTTCGTCGCTCGCTGTGTCTATCCTAAAATCAGACTCTAGATACAAGCCCACTGCACTGCCAACTTCAAGCTAAGTCAGTCAAGACACCTCAGTCTAGTCCCCCGCCACACTAGAAACTCCCATCACCCGGAGCCCTATACTGGAACTAGAACCGCTCTACTTCGTTCTAGTAGGCCGCGGGCGGCCGCCGCCGGCGGCAGAACCCCGCCCAGAACCCCCCCCCTGCGCTGGAGGGGGCCCCAAGGGACCCGAAACACCCCCGATAATTTTGGGTCAGCGGCTGAAGGCTTTACTCAGGCGCCGGGCCCCGGGGGGGTGGGCGGGCTCCAAACTAGAACGCGTCGAGTTTCCCGCGGGCTGGACAGAGGTGACGCCAAACCCGGGGCTCTTAAGGGCGGCTAGGGAGAGGGGCAAGCCGCAAACATGTTTCTCGACTTCCGTTGGGGGGAATGCAGCTGATCATGTCAGCAACATGGAGTTTCCTTGGTTCAATCATTTCAGTGCTACCATTTCTTTCGAGCAGGTCGTGTGACAAGCAACTTTCGAGAGCGATCCGCATGCGAAGATCCGATACTGCGGCATCAAGCATCAAGTAGTCCAGGTCGGCGATATTGTTGAGTTGCCGCCATTCAAAGCAGGCACGTACACACGAATTCCTTTAATACATCTTATTTATGTACCGTCCCTAATTAAGTTGGACATGTCAGAAATCAGCAATTTTGGCAATGGCGGAGAAGTCGATGATTTTGTACTCGCCATTGTCCAGCTTGATGATCCCATCTGATTCCTCGATTGAAAGAAGTTCAGCATCGTACACATTGCTGCCGTCGACGACGCGAACTTTGTTCCCAGCTTTGGGCGCTATGCGGTGGAGTGCTGAGACTGGGAGGGTCCGAGTCATTGCAGGAGAGTTTTTAAGGGCAACAGTGGCCATATTGTTATGAATGTTGGTGACTTTGCATACCTCGCCATCGTCTAATTCCGCCTCAGTGCCTTTCACGCACCAGATATCATTCTCAGAGGTGAGCGGAACCAAGGGGGCGGGATGCTGTGCAGGAGTGCCCCCCCGGCTACCAGTACTGTGGCTTGGAGACTTACGGTCACTCAGTCCAAGGAAGCTAGAGTGGCCCGGTGACACTGCGGGATGATGGTTTGGCGACTTACTGATGTTGTGACTCGGGGAGGCGACTACACGGGGACGCCAAACATCATCGAGGCCACCATAGTGTGAAGGCGTCATAGTTCCACCGTGACTTGGTGTGGCATTACCATAGCCTGGTGTCTGTGATCCGTAATGAGGAGTTTGAGCTCCATGAGCGGGTGTGGCCCCTCCCCATGTTGGGGTGGCATTGCCGCGGGAGGGTGTGGTGTGGCGGGGAGTGGCAGCACCATACTGTGGAGTGGCACCACCGAGCAGGGGTGTGGCTTGCGTGAGGAATGGCGTCGATACAAGATCTGCGTTGTAAGCCTCCTGTTCAGCAACGCGGCGCTGCACAGCGAGTTCTGGCTCTCCGCCTGCTGCTCCTGTGACCAACTTCACACATTCACGAAGCTGAGTGACAGAACGATTGCGCGTGTGAAGCTCGACTGTGACATGGCTTGAGGTAGCAGTCGTGACAATGCCAGCGAGACCCTTGTAGTTCCCTTTGCAGATACGAACGGTACGGCCAAGGAATGGGTCGCGCATTCCTGGGGCTCCACGGCCACGCCCTCTACCACTGTCACCCTTGTCATTAAATTGGTCCTCATTGACGATACGTTGTTTACCAAGGCCCATGTAGGTGTCCGCGAGCGCGTTGCCGGAAGTACGATTGCCAGCAACATGGACCTCGCGAGCCTTGCGTACAATAAGACCACCGCGAGGCGCGGATGCGGCTCCAGAGGCTGTTTTAAGCAGCCACAAGGACGCACGATGAGCACGAACCACTGTTGCTATATTCCCAACGTCACTACCATCATCTAGGATAACATGATCAGTCTCTCGAACATGCTCGTCCTTCGAGTCTAGGGACACATTTCGGGCGCTCTCCTGATTTAACTTTCTTGCAATCTCTGCAGGCCGTACGACCCGTAGCTCACCACGCGATGTGAGGACTTCCAAATAGTCGACAGCGACATATGCAACAATACCCACAGCGCCAAGGGGAAGGAGGACAAGATCATGAAGCTCGTATCCTTCAAGTGCGTCTAGACCTCGAGA